TCATGACTTAGATTCACTCAATGTATTGCTTAATCAAATGGAGAATATACTCTATATATAGCTACTCACACTTGTAGGTCAGTATAGATTCCGTATTAAATAAAACACATAAAACTGCATAGACCTGTGCAAAACAACAAACAAACAATTTAACAAAAACAGGCTTAGGATTCAAATGATACAGAGATGTGGAGCTCTGACAATGAGTTATGCCGAGTTCACACTGCATGATTTTAGCCCAATTTTTCACTCGCCGACAGGTTTTGCGAAATCGCAGACAAATGCCCGAAATCGGAGGCAAATCGGTGCTCGTTCACGCGAGTGACAATCAGGCAGTGTGAATTATCAAAGACGCGATCTGAGGGAATCACCAACATGTCGCCGACGCCCGTGAAATATTTGGCATGCTAAATATCTGGAGCTGTTGGCGATTCACAATCACGCTGTGTGCAATGATTTCTGACTGAAAACTACATCGGCGATGACCTACAGCCAATGAGAGACCAAGATACAGGGCAGAGGGAAGTTAGGGGAGGAAACCAGAATATCAGTATTTTAATAGATATATGAACAATTATATCATACAGAAACAAGCACATTTGCTTGACCAGCCACAACATCAGCATAACAGTTACTGCAAAATTATTTACCTCCAACTCTCTTTGCAGAACACCCAATCCCTGTTCCCTGCATCTCCCTCCTGCATAATCTGTTTTTCTTTTTCTCCTTGTAGCTGGAAATCAGCTCACAGACAATTTGGCTATACAGTATATCAGAGTGATTGGCTTCTCAAAAGAGGAAAAATGAAGGATTAGATTTTGTCCATCAGGAACTGATTGGATCATTGTCGTTTGCTAATTGATGCAATCTCATGTGAAATGTTGTTAAGAGGGGTCCAGCTAACAGAGAGCATTCACAGAACTTTGGCAACATTCTGGCAAGTTTTTTTTATGATGGAATGTTCAATCCAGTGATGTTAATAGAATATTTGTTTAGAGTTATCTTTGAACATTTCTGCGTCCAATGACAGCCTTATTTCTTATTATGCATTCTGATGCATTGTAAATTGAAGGCTTATTAATACTGTGAGTGAGTAAAAACATTTTGACCTTTAGTGTTTTTAATTTACTTTTTAAAGCTTTACACATATATACTGACACACCCACAGATATACAGTACTTCCTGTCTGATAAGGTTTACATTGCCTGACATGGTGAACTGAGTAATTATAAAGTTGTGACTTGTAAAAGCGACACTCCCTTTCTAGTGTGGTATGGCATGAAAAGGATTTTAAGCACATGAGTCAACACTGTAAGGTGTGATGCAATCGCATCCTGCTGTAGCAGACTAGACACTCTCTGGGTTGCTTTTGCAAACACTTTGATATCTGCTACTATATGCCATGAAGTGTTATGGTTGCATTAAAGATGCATTTTAAGATATTTAAAATAATTAATACAGTGCAGTTTACTGTGAATATTGTATGGGGGACTGGAGAGTGTATTTGAATGAGCAAACACAGGAAATTAGAAATGAATGACAGGAAATAAACACAGCTCCCCTGACGTTACTGAAAATGTTGTGAAAGTAAAGGGGAAAAAATCTGTAAATAAGTCTGGATTATAATTGGATTTCTCCTCTGTAGTACCAATAGTGACATTAATAAATAGATTTCTAAATTACTTCAGTAGATAAAAAATAAAATTGGCTCAATAAGTTAGTATAAGGTATTCTGTAATTTACTCACGCTATTGTCCTACAGGTTACGGCTTTATGTGAGTAATTGACAGAATTTTCATTTTGCTTGATCTATTCCTTTAAACTAAGCTAAGTCAACAGCATTTGTGGTGTAATGTTGACTAAACTTGAAATTCGTAGCAGTTTTTCAAAACTACATGAAACCAACATGAATACAAAGTGTACAACTTTCAATTTGAAATACATTTTTTAAAGCATTTTTCCCTTTCTCTCTAGTTGTCATTGACCCAAATGTAAACTTATTATTAAGAAAGGCATGTAACCAGATCAAAAGGTTTTAAGATTAGTTTAAAAATCTTTGTGAATGAATGTAGAAACTTCACTTACAGTAACTAAATGCTCTGGATTTTAAACATTGTTTCGCTTTTTCAGGAAATGCACACCTACGGTGCCGATTGTTTGATTTAATCAAAGTACTTCCCTTTATTGCACTTGAACAAAACCGAAACTTGTATGAGTGAAACCGTGACTCTGCATGTCACTGTACTGTGTGTAGGTGTCAGAGTGGGTAAGGATATGTGACACTACAAGGCCTGTACTCTGTTTGTGCCGCAAATACAGTCTGTGGGGATTCCCCATACTTTAATACTAGCAACATCAGGGATATTTGATATAGTGAGAATAATTATGAAAATAGTTTTGTCATGGATATTACTTCAATATTCTTCTGATTATATAATATGTTCTTTAAGTGCACAATTCAAATGTGATTTGTGTTCAAATATTAAATGGGCAGTATATGGGCACTTTATGACACTTATCATTGAATTAGATTACAAAAGATAGCAACAGCTTGTCTCTAATTTTTAGTGGCTGTATACGTATGAAGTCATCACATTAACTATGAACATTTTCCTCTAATGTTTGACCAACATTTAAAGTGTCCAAATAGATTTTGTTTTAGTTTTGAACACTTTTTTTTATTTCTAAATAAATAAATAAATGACAAGCTTGTGCTGTTTCTTTAAAATAAATGCACTTGTTGATACCAGGCCACTTGCTGTCAGACTCTGTTCCATGTTTTGTCTGTGTCTTGCTCCCCAGGTGTTCCTTTCCCATGTTTAATTTGTCCCAGGTGTTCCCCATGATGGTTCATTGATCCCAGGTGTGTCTCGTCATCCCCTCCTCCTGTGTGTATTTAAAGTGTTCCCAGTCCCTAGTTCTCTGTCCGCTGTGAACGTCTTCCTGTGTTCGTCTCCCTTGGTTCATGAAAATAAAGTCCTGTCAACATATTCTCCAGTGTCTCCTCGTCCCTCGTTTGTGTGCAACGTGACACTTGCTAATATTCTATACAAAATAAAAATCAAACTGTGATGACATTTTCATTTATCTGCTACAAATGAAAGTTTGTACATACATTTAATTTGTTCATGAAATGTAATTTTATACCAATGGTCAACTCCTTCCCCCAGCTCCCCACTACAGCGTTTAAATTTAAATATAAATATTTAAACCCAAAAAAGTTTAAAACATTATGCATATTAGTGCCGGATAACCTAGTAGTATGCCTTTACTGTCTACTGTAAATGATTTTTATTATTATTAAACCAAAACTGGTTTTATTATTTATATAAATAGACAATTAAACATTGTGTACACTGTAATTATTTTTCAAAGTTGTAAATAAAACAATGATTTTTTAAGTATGATTTACAATAAAATACTATTTAAGTTTTTCTACTTTAAAATTTGATGTTTAATTCAATGTAACTTGCCATTTCTTTGTAATTGTGAAATTTACTAGCAATTTCTGAGTGAAAATATTTTATAAACCATTTTTTTTGTCAGTTTAACCCCATGATCATATGATTATACTCAGTGAAACTTGATTTCTCACTGTATTGTATAAGAGTATCAGTGACTTTTCCCAGGAAAGGAAGTTTGAAATTGGAAGGATCGCAAAATGTTTGTAAACTATTTCAGTAGTGTAAACTATGCTATTTCTATAAAGCTTGGAATTCATGTGTAGGTGTGAGAACACAATTAGCCCAGTCCTGTTAAAGGACACCACATTTTTTCCAGTTCTTTTTTGGCAATCCCCACATTCTCTACATTTTCTTATTTGCTTATTTCTCATTTGCTTATATCTAAACAAACAAACAATTTTTAGATGATAATCTTTTCCTTGATAATGACAGAAATACATGACAGATACTACAATTCCTTCCTTATGAAACTCTTTTGGGAATGAACATGATGCCATAGAAGATATTTTTATTGTTACTGTTATTAAATAATTTTGGACGCCACTTTGAATAGACAAAAACATTGGAAACATTATTATAACAACATATCTTTTATATATTTCACAGAAGAAAGAAAGTTATATAGGTTTAGAATGACATGAGGGTAAGTAAAGGATGACAGAATTTTTATTTTTACGTGAACTATCTAAGAGACGACTAGTAAAACAAAACAAATCCCAGCATGCACTGCAACAAAGACCAGCATTCTGAGGTAAGGCCTGGGCCTTTTTATTTGGTTGTCTCTTGGGAATCATGTAAAACCTTGAGGGAAGAGTGAAATACTATCAAGAAAGTCTTGTTGCTAATTTTGCTAATTACTTCACAAACAAAACCATATCCATCAGCAGTCAGTTCTCAGTTCCACTCACCCAGGAACTCACAGTAAACACTCACACAGCTGATCATCTTCTCTCCTCTTACAGAAGATGAAGTCTCTAAACTTATTCTCTCCAGCCACCCTACCACCTGCCCTCTAGACCCAATCCCCTCACATCACCTACAAGCTATTCCCCCTGCATTTCTGCCTTCACTCACATACATCATAAACACATCTCTTCTCTCAGGCATTTTTTCCACCACATTCAAGCAGGCTCGGGTAACCCCACTGCTTAAAAAAACCTACACTAGACACCTCACTTGTTGAAAGCTACTACAGGCCTGTGTCTCTCCTCCCTTTAATAGCAAAATCACATGAACACGTTGTTTTCAACCAAGTGTCTTCCTTCCTCTCACAGAACAATCAGCTGGACAATAACCAATCTGGATTTAAAGGTGGCCATTCAACTGAAACTGCCTTGCTGTCAGTCACTGAAGCACTACAGAGTGCAAGAGCTGAGTCCAAATCTGCAGTTCTCATTCTGCTGAATCTATCTGCTGTGTGTGACATGGTTAATAATCAAATCCTTCTGTACACCCTCTTTTATCACCAGAACTTTACGCCACTGGTTCGAGTCTTACCTCACAGGTAGGTTTTTCAAGGTGACTTGGGGAGGAGAGGTATCCAAATCACACCAACTGGTCATTGGGGTTCCTCAGGGATCAGTTCTTGGACCCCTCCTCTTCTCTACAGTGCTGCTTGAAAGTTTGTGAACCCTTTAGAATTGTCTATATTTCTACATAAATATAACCCAAATAATCATCAGATTTTCATGCAAGTCCTGATAGTTGACAAAGAGAACCCAATCAAACAAATGAGATGAAAATATATATACTTTGTTCAAATGAAAATGTAAAATGAAAAGGAAAATGATCCAATATTACATATCTGTGAGTGGCAAAAGTATGTGAATCTCTAGGATTAGCTGTTAATTTGAAGGTGAAATCTGTTCAGAGGTGTTTTTAATCAGTGAGATGACTATCAGGTGTCAGTGTGTGCCCTGTTAGTCTACATCCCCTCCAGAAGCCTGCGGTCGGTAAACGAGTGGCGGCTTGTGGTCCCATCACAGAGAGGCACAAAATCACTCTCAAGGACGTTTTCTTTCACCGTCCTGTTAGTGAAATGACCAAACTAACTCCATCTGAACAGCCAAATCCCTCACAATCTTCAAGAAACAACTGAAAACTCATCTCTTCCGTGAGCATCTAACTGCATCCTCCTAAAAAAACAAAAATAATTCTATGCCTTCACTTTTTCTGTTTGATTATTATCCTTTATCCCTTCCTTTGAACGAAGAATGAAACTTTGTATAATGAGCACTTCTCGTGTTTATTGCCATATTTTGATAAATCGCTTGTTGTATTCCTCAACTGTAAGTCACTTTGGATAAAAAACATCTGCCAAATGAATAAATGTAAACGTAAATGTAAATGTAAATGTAAATGCAAATATATAAACTGGCCTGACATGAATAACACAGCATTTTTAGTCCCATTTGCTTATATGTGTGAAGGAGGATTGTTTTGACAAAGTTGTTATCAGTATGCAAAACTTTCAAAAATGCAAAGCATGTCAATAGGGGAAAATCTGGACATTTTAGGCATTTTTTTTTTGATTAGGCCAGGACATGTTGCATACTCTTTTGAGTAGGTACTTATTTTCAATAAGTAATTACTTCATGACTGCTAAAGAAGTATGTATAGTATGAATGTAATCATGACATACTATATTCGTCATGTCGTCACTGTCTAGCATCAGTTGCATCGCTTCACTGCCATTCACAAATCCTCTCCCGTGGCCTCATGGAACAGTAAAGTGTACATTGTATGCACACTGAAGAATCTCAACAGAAGCAGTAAGTCATCCAAGTACTTTTTGCCTGCTTTTTTATTAGTACTGTGAATTTGGACATACTTCTTTTGTCACATACTTATTTTCACAGACTGTATATAGTAGGGAAGTATGCAATTTTGGATGCAGCCAGTGTTTCCCAACCCTGTTCCTGGAGGCACACCAACAGGACACCTTTTCAAACTCTTCATTAATTAAAAACAGCTGATTCCATTCATCATCAGATTAATAGAAAATCAAAGACCTAAAAAGAATCAGATATGGGAGAAATCCTGTGTTCAGTTGGTGTGCCAGCAGGAACAGGGTTAGGAAACACTGCCCTATCATAACCTCACATTTATTACAGTACCTTTAAATGACAGCATGTGATTTGGTAATGTACATTTTGACAACAAAACATACATTTCATGTAAATGTAATATAAAATTCACATGAAATTGAATTTCCATCAATATTTAGCTTGAATGTCAAAATATGTGATCAGTTTTTATTTATTTATTTATTTATTTATTTTAACTTCCAGCCAAACTGTTTAGAAAAGTATTGTAATTAAGTTGACGCTACTTGACCGTATTGAGCAACACAAGTCAGAAACAAGTCAGTGCCATTAATTTCATAACCTTCAAAATCTGAAACACTAAACAGTTTAACACTAAACAGGATTTTAATTTGCTGCTCATGAAGGGGAAGTTTCAACACTAATTATTATACCTTGTGACCATCTCTATGCCAAATATTTGTATATGACTTAGTTGCAAAGAACTAAGCGTCTTATTAAATGACTGTTAGGTTTACAAAGTCAGTCTTATATGGTTATGAAGTTTATAATTGATTTATACCTTTTTAAAAATATAAATGAGATAATTTTATACAGATAATGAATGCAACACATCGTAATACTAGATATTACTATCTATTATTGTTACAGTATTACAAATATGCTGCTTTTTGGATGTGAAAACATCTTTAACACTCTTATATGTGATGTCCTGCAGTGGACAGATCATAAAAACACATTTTAACCATTCAGGATGTAATGATCTTTGACCTTTACCCTTTATTCAATATGACTGATCACACAAACTCAAAACAATTACTAATATGTTTTATTGAAGTAGACAAATGGGTAACTATATATAATATATAATATAATATATAGAATTTTGACAAGAAATTAAAATTATTATATTACTGTTTTTGAAGGAAATTTGAATATGAGTAAGAAGCATTTTTATTCGGGTGTAATCAGTGTCTGTGCTTTTTTCGTATGTGTTTTGATGTGATAACTTTGTAAGCAACATATTTCTACTCATGCAGTCACACACAAAAACAGAAAATGATTACAAAGCTGTTCACAGAACAGCTTTTAAATTTGAAAGTATTCACCTGTCATCCACTTTTGGAGATGAATTGCGTGAGTCTGTCAAAGTTGCCTTAGGAAATTGCAGTCAGTAATGATGTAGACATTGACGACTCAATCAGGGTGGAGTCCTATGTTTTCTTCCTTGTTCGATAAGTCATTTAACTAATATAACAAACAAAAATGTCTTTACAGTTGTAATATTTTTTTGCCTTTTTTGTGATTAAAAAAAAAACGATTAAATTATTAAAATGACAGTAACAGGCTGAACAATAATTTATTTTATTTTTTTTGTGTAGGCATAAACTATTAAATAATAGTTTAATTTGGATTGTTTCATGCTCTTTGCAGCTAATAATCAATGGGGATTGTTTTGACAAAGTTGTTATGAGTATGCGAAACTTTTCAAAAATGCAAAGCATGTCAATAGGGGAAAATCCTGACATTTTAGGCAATTTTCATTAGGCCAGGACATGTCAGGGACCCAATCACAGTGGCTTCATCCAAAATCGCGTACTCCCTTGGTACTTATTTTGAATAAGTTACTTCATGACTGCTAAAGAAGTATGTTCTATATGTAATCTGGACGTACTATATATCATGTTGTCACTGTCATCAGTTGCATCGCTTCACTGCCATTTACAAATCCTCTCCTATGGCTTCATGGGACAGTAAAGTGTCCATTGTATGCACACTGAATCAATGTCTGTGCTTATGTTTTGATGTGATACCTTTTAAGCATCATATTTCTACTCATGCAGTCACACACACACAAAAAAGAAAATAATCACAAAGCTGTTGACAGAACATCTTTCAAACGTGAAAGTATTCACCTGCCATCCACTTTTGGAGATGAATTGCGTGCGTGGAGAAGGAATTGGCAGTCAGTAAGGACGTAGACATTCATGACTAAATCAGGGTGGAGTCCTATGTTTTCTTTCTTGTTCGATAAGTTATTTACCTCTGAAATAAATTACAATACAGAAGTAAAGTAAGTCGCACCTTTGTTTATATAACAAACAAAAATGTCTTTACAATTGTAATCTTTTTTGCCTTTTTTGTGATTTTTTTCAAAATAAAAATTTGATTAAATTATTAAAATGACAGTAACGGGCGGTCACTGTCATTTTTGTGTAGGCATAAACTATTAAATAATAGTTGAATTTTGATGGCTTCATGCTCTTTGCAGCTAATAAAAAAAAAATATATATATATATTGAGTTGTTATTGTTATAGCCACAGCTATATTGTGCATTATATTCTGCCATATTCTGCCATATTCTGCATTATGTTTTGCAACATCTAGACAGACCAGGGACTTATGTGAGGATCCTGTTTGTGGACTTCAGCTCAGCCTTTAAC